ACATCAAGTTACCTACAAAGGACATCCCATCAGGCTAACAGAAGACCTCTCATCGGAAACAATGCAAGCAAGGAAAGAATGGGAAAATATATTCAGAGCATTAAGGGAAAAGCAGTTTCAACCAAGAATACTGTACTCGGCAAGATTATCCTTCATATGGGAAGAAAAGACAAGAACATTCTCAGATAAACAAAACCTGAAAGGATTTAGCAGCACCAGAACAGATCTCCAAGAAGTTCTCAAGGGAATGCTATGCCAGGAAAATTAAATACAGACACACAGAAATAAGAGTTCAAAAACTAAGAGAATGGCCAACTTAATTATAGAGACACGTCTGGAGTTGAATATTATATCCCAGAATTCAATCAGAAAAGTCAAAGCACAACAGAAGACAGAGCACATGAGGCTGAACGGGTGAAACAGCATTCTATGACTTTTTTTTTGAGAGGTTTTCACTGTAGGGTGCGTGCGCTCACCAGACAGAGAGAGACAGAGAGACAGAAAGCGAGAAATCACCCCCCAGGGGGGATGGCCACACCGCAATCCCTTCTCCTCCATTCTCCTCTCGGGATCTTGGGCATGCATGCACACGCGACCAGCGTGAGTTTAGTCGACTACGTGGGAGTCCAGCGACATAGCCATTACGCTAACTGCTGGTCCCAGCATTTTATGACTTTTGACTAAAACGTTGCTGCTTTTCCTCTAGGCTTTATTGTCTGGTTTTAAGGATTTGTGTCCTGTCTTGAGCTGCCAGTAGGTTCGTGTTCCTACCATTGGAACAGAATCCTAACTTGTTCCCTGGCTTTAAGTTTTAAGCAAAGTTCCTTAGGATTTATTTTATTTAAGTTAAAACTGCTTTTCTTGACACTATCAGCTGAACTTGCTATTGAAAGTAGTTAGATTATTTAAGAAATTATGTGATCAATACAATGTGGGGGAGAAAGGAATGGAAGACAACTGTAGACACCAGAGATAGTGTGAGAAGAGGGTGGGAAAGGACAGAGGGTCAGAAATAGGGGTTAAAAAATACACACACACACACACACACACACACACACACACATAAAATGAAACTAGAAATGGAAAATTATTGACGATAACATGCATGATTAAACACTATGCAGTATATTCTGGATGGGAAATCACATTTTGTATGTTGTGACGATGCTTAGGGGATGAATGAAAATTAATTAAATTTTTAAAAATTTTCCCCCCCAAAAAAAAACTAAACCTGTTTTTCTTGAAATTAAAAAAAAAAGCATTAAAAATATCTATTTGATGACTGCAGTAAGCTATATAGCCCCAGCTAGGTGCTACTTTATAGTATGTTCAGTCTACTCACTGAGGCTTATGCCTAAAGTCAGACTTGTGTTCATGGATATTTTGCTATTCAAAATATTTATAGATTAATTAAGATCTTCAGTGAATCAATAAAATGTGGGGGAACAGGCATAGAAAGCAACCATGGATCC